CTGAAATAGAGAGGTTTTATATACACACACAATCGATTATGGGTGTACTCGAAATATGTAGTTCTAATTAAGAAGTTAGAGAATGTTCCACATAAGTTTTCAACAGTGTAGAAGTCAGGTCAAATGTTTAATCTAAAAGCCTTAAATAGCCAGAAATATTTCATAATAAAATTGCTGGCTGATTTAAGGTTTTGTTTTTAAAAAATAATTATTTTCTCTTCCACTTTTAAAGCAAAATAGTAAATTAGAAATTAACTTTTAGAACTAGAGAGTGCAGCACACAAGTCATGACAGTTCACAAAATGTTATTTCCTGGGTTTGTCTACATTTAAAACACTGCGGCAGTGCAGCTGCACCACTGTAGCGCTTCAGTGAAGACACTACCTACATCGACGGGAGGGGTTCCTCAGTCAGCATAGGTACTCCACCTTCCTGAGATGTGATAGCCAGTTCTACAAGAGAATTCTCCTATAGATCTAAAGTGCCTACACCAGGCTTGGAGGGTTTAACTGCATCGCTCAGGGGTGTGGATTTTTCACACCCTTGAGCAACAGTTATACTGACCTAATTTCCTAATGTAGAACAGGCCCTCCTATTCCCAGAATAGGATTTAACATGATTGGCTTTATACAGAAAGATGAATTACTTCAGATTACTATGACCCTTCAGAAGAGTAGTATAAAACAAAACTATAAACGTTTCCTACCTGCCCTCAACCTGAGAGATCACATCTTGAGAAATTTCTGCAAGATGTCAAGAAGCAAATCCCCATTCAATTTGACTGTATTTTCTCAATAAATTGTACAATAGCCTTGTTAGAGGAACATTTTTAAAAGAACAAGCTTGAAGTATATGTAGAAATAAAAGCTTTTTCAAATGAACACCTGGTAGATCGGACTAAGCTTACAAAAAATAAACAAACTGCACCCATACAATATGGCATAAAAGATAATGAGGAGACTAGCCAGGAATATGAGAACATTCACTTTGAGCACCATCTTTATATTTTTCTTATTTGCTTCTGAAAAGTTAATGCCCCAAAAGGAAAGTACAGCATCAATGTGATAAAGACTAAGACAAAAAACAGGCTTTAAATTAAGATTTGTCTATAGACTAATGAGCAGTAGGATTTTTCAAACCACATGCTCCAGTCCAGGTCTGCTTTTGTCTACCTCCTCTTATGCTACAGAGAAAGCAGTTTAAGACATGCTAAAGCTGATAAATTACCAACAAAAAAAACATTCAAATTGCATTATCTTCCTGTGGGAAAAAATATGGAGGGCATCGCTAACAAGTTATGCTAGCTGCAGAAATAGCAAGAAAAAGCTTGAAAATACAGCTATGCAAGCTGAAGTCCTGTAATATATAATGGAATACTAAACTGTTAAAAACTGTTTTGACTATTGTTACCAGGTATATATGGCCTACTCATCTTCTCTCTAAAACTGCCCAAAATTCTTTCCTACAATATTTCACAACTTGTTTTCTTGAACTTTGGTCTCGTGCAACTGGCTCATTTCAGCCACTGAACACACACTTCCTATTTTCTTTTCTTTCCAGTTCACCTTGTACTACTTCTTGCCCAAAAGTTCAAATACATTCACGTGGTCTGTAATCCTTCCTACTTTAGAATATCTTTCATGCTTCATAAATGTAGAAATGGTGTTCCCCCCACTCGTCCCTCAAGTAACATAAATCCTTTAACTAATTGCATCTTCCTAGTTTTCAATACAAACGTTTTTTAGAAGTAAAATCTTATATTTGTTTTGGAAACAAGTGCATTTGCTTCCACATAAAAATAGTTTTAAAAATACTGTAGAACCAAGTACAATCTGTTTCCACATTTTTAAAATAGCAGTAGAGTTAATATTTAGAACAGTCAGAAATTAGTAGCCTGACCTTCTGCAGACCACATTACCCATCTAAATGACCATCATAATCCAAGTTGAAGAAATAGTACATATCAGAACTCATTCTTCAATAAATTAACTTTAGGGCAATAATCTTAAATTCTCTTGTAACTGTGCAGCAGTCACAACAAGAGCTCCTCAGTGAATTCATCTTAAGGGGGTTTGCAAAGCTACAGATGACTAGAAACTCTTTCTTACACGGAGATATGGGTGCAATTTCATTAATCCCAACATGAAGTACATCATTGAAGAAGATTAATAGTCATTGCCATGTTTCATTTTTGCTCATTAGACTATTCTACCTACCTTTACTACATTTACTGTAGTATAAACACACATCAGGAAAAATAGGGTTGATAAACAAACAAACACACACACACACACACACCATAACTTGTAGACTGTTTGACAAAACAGTGCAGATTAAAATGTAGACTTCTAAATTTATACAATTTAACTTTATTTTGTGTTTGGTAGTATTTTTCATCCAAACTGCATACCCTCCATGCCTGATGGAGCGTGCACACACACACACACAAAACCACCAATAGTTACAGTTATTAATCAATATATTAGCTGGAAGTTAAATAGTACCAGATTTCTGAAATTGAAGTTTTTCACCTGCATTTAACATTACTTCTGAAGTTCAGAAAAAATATGCCCAGCCAAGTGTAATCACATCATTGTCCCTGGCAAAAAGACTCATTAACTGAGAACTCTACAAGTGAGGACAAACTTGTAAAAAAAATTTAAACTTCAAAAGTCTGTCAGAATAAATAAGAACATCTTATAATTTATCAGTACAGTGGTAGCATGAAAAAAGAAAATTGTATTTTGATTTTTATTCTCTATACTAACATATTAAGGCCCCAAACCCACAAGCTCATACATGCAGGTGGACCCCTATGAATATGAGCTTGCAGAATCAAGTCCTAAGTTCACAATACATCTAGGGTGGGATTTTCAGAACCACTCAGTGTTGGCCTAACTGGTAAAACTCCTATAGACTTTAATGAGAGCAGTATAAAGTCCACACACTAATCACACCTCTAAGTCATCACATGTTGTTCCTTTAAAGCAGTCTAGTAAAACAAAACAAACACACTTGTCTAAAAATTTTCTCTAATACTGTTATAACTATGATTTCTCACCCTCAATTTATTTACTTTGTATATTTGATATCACTTTGTTTTCCCTGTTTGTGTGTGGGGGTCTCACACAAAAGAAAGATGACAGAAGACGACAGCCAAATATAAGAAACCACAGAAGTTGGCAGAGGGGCTCAAGGCAAATGTAGCTCCTTAAACCAATTTAATTTTTTTTAAACTAACCAGATTTCAAGGTGATGGAGTCTGTCTAATTCTAAAATGTTTGCAAATACACAGAATCATATTAATACCACAAAAGCACCAGTCATAACTTCTACTCAAATAAATCAATGAAGAAATAATTTATCAACATAACACCATGCCATTGATGGAAAGCAAAATAGCATTACAATTGAAGTCTCTAACATTTAGCGTAGTAAACAAGCATAACTAATCTAGCAAATTCTTCTACATGATTAGATAAATCTGGTTTACCATATACTCATTGGATTGTTTAATATACGCTGAGATAATGCAGTCATCAATATCATATCAATTTTCTACATTTAAGTCACCTACAAAAAATTACACATTGCTGTACTCTTTATTTGCAACCTCATCGTGCCACTTCATAATACAGTCCTGACCTATTTTTCAGCTGCTTAATTACTCTGTTTGCCGGCTGACACGCTTGTTAAAGTTAAGACAGTTTTTAGTTACAGTGTGTATTTCAAACATAGTTCCTCCTGTAACAATATTAATTTGCCAAAGGTTTCTATAAACCAAACCTCTGGAGACTAGCCAATATTTTTATTTTGCTCTCACATCAGCTGCTCTGTTTGAACAGACACTTTGTGCAACTGGTGTAATGGTATGTGAAAGTAATATTGAGAAAATACAAAACTATATTTAACTCTAAGTCTTGTTACTAGTGACCTGCAGCTTTAACATCTGTTACCCCCACACTAACAACGTACTTGGCCTGCATTTAAAGCTAGTGATCAAAGCAAAAACACATTTTAAAAATGGTATTTAAAAAACATTTAACATCTGTTAAGTAAATTCAGAAGTCTTAGCTATTGTATTAAATCATAACGTTCTAAGAATAACCTGCTGACCATAGGATGGAAGCGGTATACATTAGTTTCTGGCTTTCTAATTTTAAAAATTAGATATTTAGCATCTAATATCAACAGAACCTGTACAAAAATCATTTTAAAATACTACCTATAGCATTTCTAGCTCATTTAGGGCTTGATATAAAAGGAGTTATCAATATTTATCTTACAAAGTTAACTAATAAGTATGCAATAGCTGATTTTATATGGTACAAGGGTGATAAGGCACTCAGCACCTAAAACCAAAATGGTGCTGGGATACAGAAATGGGGGGGGGAAGAGTTATAAAAAGTAACTGTGGAGTCTGCTCAAAGTTTTATTTAAACAAGAAACCGGTTGTTGTTTTTTAATAGTAAAATTATAAATACAAGAAGACATTAGCCTACCAGTACTTTAAAAGCTAATGATTGGCAAATATTCCCCTTTAAAAATAAGTGCCTTTGTGATAGGTCAACATAAAATAAAAAGCACCTGAAACCCTGAGAAGAGTTAGTTTTGGCCACTCTCTAATCAAATGTTTAAAGTACAAAGCAGCAGCATATCCTATCTAATTTTTGCCAAGTTCCAATTTCGACTGATTTAAAACAGCCAAGGTATAGCTATTTGAAAACAAAACTGTTAAAGAGCCAACACAACAACAAATAAGCATTTTCGAAACGAGCTCGTCATAATAAACAGAATAAATATACCGTCACCTGGGAACAACAGCAGCATTTCACAGAGTTTGAGAACACCATACAAGGACTAAACTAACACTTATTACTAAATCATAGTGGGGGGAGAAAAAGGGGGAAGAAACCGCAGCAACCTAAGTTCCAAAGGAGCTCCACTGAATTGTCATCAGTCCCACATACCATTTTAAGCTATTCTTTTCCCCCTCTGAAATGGAAATAGACATACTCCTTCCCAAACTACATTTGCAAATTACCTCTGTGTTCCAAAGGGAAGCAATAATCGCTGTAACAAGAGAAGCTCGGCAGCCACGCCTTCCTGCTGGCCTGACAAGTTGCAAACGGAGGGTATCACATTTCTTCGATCACAACAACAATCACACACAGCTCCTCAGGTTAGTTTTACACACGTCAGACAAACCCATCCAAAGGGAAATTGCAGAGTGCACTGGAGAATGGGGCAAAGACAGGGAAAAGAATAAAAGAAGGGGAAGCTTTTGGGCCTAAGAGGAAAGAGATGATAAAAGTGGAACAACGGGAAAACAGAAGGGACACTCGCTGTGGGACCAGGCTGCTTGTTTACCACTAGATTTTTCGCGGGAGCGTCACCTCCTCCCTGGGCAAACTTCAGTGCCCGGGGAGCTGGAAGGGGAACTGCGCAGTACGTGTGCGAGGTGGGGCACCGCCTGCCCCCCGCCCCACGGGCTGAGAAAGAAGCGGGGGGAGGGGGACTCAGCCCATGGTTCAAAGTTTGTTAGCGCCAGAGTCGTCGCCCCCCGCCCCACACCCTGACTTGCCTCGGCAGGAGGCGCCTTTGGGAGCAGCAGGCTCCGAGCTGCTGCCACTCCCCAGAGACGGGGCAAGAAGCACCCGAGTCCTCTCCCGCCCGGACTCTCAGCTACCACAGCCCCACGCCCAGCGGGGCATTTTGCGGGGGGGTCTCGGCCCCAGCCAGAGAACAGGAGCCGGGTCCCCCCTTCGGCAGGCAGGGCCGCCCCTCACCTTCACAGGTCGGGCAGCGCGAGTGTCCGAGCTGCCGCCGCCCTGGGCATGTCCGGGAGAGTCACGGAGAGGCGCCTCCCAGGCCGGGCTTAGCTCTTTGCGGCTGCTGCTCCTGCGGCTGCCGCCGGCGCCTCGGACGCTGCCATCTTGTCCTGGCGGCTGAGAGGAAGGAGCCCCAGCTCAGCCTGCTCAGTTCCCCAGGCCTCCGCCTCATCTTCCCGGGGAGGGACTCGGCCCTCCCCCGGCCTCCTCCTCCCGCTGCCGCTCCTCTCTCCGGCGGCCTAGGCGCTGGGGCCCATGGTTCACGCGGAGGGGCCCGCGGGACTCGCTGCACCTCAGTCCCGCTAGGACGATGGCTGGGCTCGGTTCCCAGCTATGGGGCCCTCCCTAGCGGAGACTGGGCGAGCTCTAGGCCTCCGCCGCAGCGGCAGCGCCACCGCCCGGGCCCTGCCTGCCGCGCTGCCGCCGCAATCGGAGCTGCTGCCCAGAGCCCGGGCCCTGACCCCCGCTCAGCCCCGCCGAGGGATCAGCCTCCCCGCCTGCTGCCCCGGTTCCCTTCCGCGCCAACCCCTCTGCCAGGCTCCTTGCTGGAGCCCAGGGAAGAGGCCCTTGCTCCCGCCCCTAGGAGAAGGTTGAATCTTTCCCTTTTCCCCTCTTCGGGAGCCCCGAAAGCCCCTTGCTCCCTCTGCAGCCGCGGGTGAGCCCCTTGCCTGCAGGGGAAGTGCAAAGTCAAACTCCCTGGTTCAGCCAGGGCCCTCCCCCGGTGCAGTAACGCCTAAATTTTCTAATCTAGCGCTCTTTCTAGCTGGGGCTATTAAACTCCTTCACAAAGGGGAGTAAACATCATTGGCTCCATTTTACAGCTGAGGAAACTGAGGCACGGGAAAGTGCAATGACTTTCCTGAACTTGTGTGTCGGGTCAGTGGTGGAGCCAGGATTAGCACACAAGTCTCCTGGTTCCAGTCCAGTGCTCTTTGAAGTAGGTCACACAGGACAGGCTGAAATGCCAGTGTGATATATCTACTGTTCATGCCCAGACTGCTGCGGGGTGGAGGAGGACAGATTTGTGCTCACTCTTTAGGGAGCCCCTGACAAATCTGGGTACCTTCCCCTTTACCACAGTCCTAACTGTGGCATCTTTCCCATTCCCACTCCTCTGGCTCACAGAAATAGAGCTCGGGGGAGGAACCCACCGATTTTTGGCTGGGGGGAAGTTTTTTGTTGTAACTTCATTTACATCAAAATGATACATTTGGTCAAAGCAGGAAGCATTACTTAATGTCTGGTCCAAATACACAGACAGTGGCAGGACACCTAACAGGAATGGCCATGCAGATGGTGGTAAGGACAAGGGATGGATTCTCGCAACTTACAAGCTCAGACAAGAAGAAGATGCAATGCAGGGAGTTCCTGAGTTGTTTAAACCAGCACTGCTGCTTTATAAGCTTCAAGTGTTCATGTTCTGTCAGAGACTTCCCATAGAAAGCAGCTCTCAGCAGCCAGGAGGGTCCACTGCCAATCACCAACTGCCTTGGAACCTTCTGGCTGCACTATTCCATCCCTTCCTGGTTAAATAGATCCCTGATGGCCAGAGAAAGAGAAGTTACTTACACTGTAGCATCTAAAGTTCTCTGAGATGTGCGGTCGAGATCTATATTCCACTGGTGGACGTGGATGTGCATGTGCTGTAGGCACCTGAGACTGGAAGATTCTTACGTAGTAGTGTCTATTAATCTGCACCTACACCCTTCTCATGTTGCGAACCAAGAATATAAGGGGCAGCATGGACAGACCGCTTCTCCAATTCCTTCACCACCACGGACCAAGGCAGATGGGAAGGAGGACAGGTAGCGGAATACAGATAAGGACCACACACCTCAAATTACTTCAGATATTATAAGGTAAGGAACTTCTTTTTCTTCTTTTAGTGCAGTGCCTATGTTCATTTCACTATGGGTGACTGACAAGCACAAAGGATGTCCACTGTGGAGGCTTGTACTATAGCATAGTGTCTCGTGAAGGTCTGAATGGAATGCCATGTAGCCACTTGGCTTATATCAAGGAGTGATGCTTCTTGAAGCAATGCTACTGAAGGTGCTTGTGGTCTGGTAAAATGGGTTCTCACCCCCTGTGCAGGAGGAAGACGTGTCAACTGATATCAGAGCAGGTTAATCTGAAATCCACTTAGAAAGTCTCTGACAGGAGATTGCTTGACCTCTCATTCATTCCACTAGGGAAACAAATAGTCCATGTGACTTCTGGATAGATTTTGTTGTTTGCTGGTAAAAGGCTGATGCACAGCAAGGAATGGAGTCTCTTATCCTCAACACTGGTATGAGACTTTTTTAGTAGTTGTCTTACCTGATTTACGTGAAATTATTTTAGGAGTTAGTTTCTGATGAATAACAGGGCCCCTGCTTCCTGAGCAATCCCCCATGGCCAGAGTTCCCTATGCAGCTACCTCCTTCTGTTCGCTCTCTTTTTCTTCAGGGCCCCTTAGGGTATGTCTATACTGCAATTAAAAATCCACAGCTGGCCTGTGCCAGCTGACTCAGACTCAGGCTATGGGGCTCTTTAACTGCAGCATAGACATTCAGGCTCAGGCTAGAGCCTGGACTGTGGGACCCTGTGAGGAGGAGGGTCCCAGAGCTTGGGATCCAGCCCAAATCCACATGACTAAACTACAATTAAACAGCCTCACAAGCCCAAGTCAGCTGGTATGCCCCAACTGCCGGTGTTTAATTGCACTGTAGACATACCTGTAGAGACTCTCCACAGTCTCTTTTAGAAGTCCTGTTGCCCTTCACTTGGGGCTGGTTTAGTGCCCGCAAACCATTTCAAACAGTCCCACCAATTAAGTCCATCACTGCAATCCAAAGATTCATACTGATTTCTAGAGGTTCTGCCTTCCATACTGAGCTCTTCTACCAGCCTACTCTTCACAGGGTCATGTTTCATAGCTGTGTCTCCCTGGAGTTTAGCCTTCTAGCCTCTAACTTCCTTCTCTTACCAGTGTATCCCCCTGTTCTGAGCGAAAAGGCAGTCTATAGACTGCCTTCCTCCAGAGAGCTCCTCCTGGTCGGCTGGAAGACAGGGGAGGCCGTGCCCCATCCTATGCTACATGGCTTCTGATCCGGAGCCTTTAAAGGAACAATGCCTTAGTGTTTTTCCCCATCTGACCACTTCCTCTCTTCCACTATCAGGGCATTTCCTGGGACCTTGTGCATTCAAACTCCCTGGAACAGGGTCTTCTGACCCTTCCACTCTTAGCAATTGGACCCTGTAACAGGGTATACTGTTATGAGACCTTCTCCTTATGGAATACTGTATACAATGGGTCACCCATCAGCGGTCCAAGTTTTTCTATGCTTCTGGCAGAAGTGATGGCCACCAGAATTGGCGATTGTCATAAATAAATGAGACAAACACATTCCTAATGGTTCAAACAGTGGTCTAGTTAATGTTAAGAATACCAAGATAAGATCCCAGGTTAGAGTTGGTTTGGTTATTGGTGGAAAGGTTCTAATTACACCTTTGAGAAAACATATCATCATGTGGGTGAAGATAGTGTGGTTGTTAATTGAAGGGTATCAGACACTGATTGCTGCCATCTGAACTTGCAGCAAGCTAAGGGAAAGGCCAGCAGACTTGAGGGTGAGGAGATAATCCAAGATAGCAGAAATCCCCACTTTCTCTGGGACATGTGATGATGCTGAGCCCAAATGGAGAATCTCTTCCACTTTGCTATATAGCATTTTCTGGTGGATTCTTTCCTGCTATGGTGAGGATGACTTGTCTTCTGAACATCTCTGTTCTAGGTTTGATGTCCATCCGAATACCAACTGTGAAATGGAGAGTGTGGGGGATGTTGGACCTTGCCATGTCCTGGGTCAAGGACTCTGGAAAGAACTGGATGCTGATGGATGGACAGATTGACAGGTGAAAAAGGCTGGAAAATGGGAGTCATGAGAATGATTATTGCTGTATCCTGTTGGATCTTCTATACAACTTGAGAAAAGAGTGGAATGAGTGGAAAGGCATCCATGAGATTAGCAGGGCAGTGCCCCATAAGCCCTGACCCAGAGTCCCTCTGGAGCAGTACATTTTGCATTTCCTGATCGCTTGGGATGCAAAGAGATCCTAATACAGGGCTCTCCACTAAATTGTGTATCATGGTCGGTCAAGAAATGTCCAATGAGGCTGTCTGCTGAGAACTGTGTTTTCCCAGAAGTCAACTGCTGATAGGGTAGTCTCATGTTGAATGCCCCAGATTCACAGACTGGCTGCTTCTATGTAGAGAGGAGTGGGTCTTGCCCCTTCCTGCTGCTTGATGTAGAACACTGTAGTTCTGTTAACCAGCATCACTAGAATATGATGGGATCATATAACTGGTAAAAAAGCTTTGCAGGCTTCCTGGACAGCTCTCCCTTCTAGTAGGTTTATATGCATTTTAGCCTCCTGAGAAGTCCATATGCTTTGTGCTGTATCCAGGTGGGCACCCTAAAAAGTAGGAATGCATCTGTGTTCAGCATTCTCTTTAGTGTGGGAGGGAGGAAGGGGACCCCCGCCACACACACACACACACACACACACATATCGTTGTTCACCTACCACTTTAGAGAATCCTTCAGTCTGGGGGGGATCGTTACTACTGTGTCCATGATGTGTTTTCTTGGCACACAATCTGTTTGAAGCCAAGTTTATAGACATCAGAGATGAAACCTTGCAAAAGATGTCACATGGGTGCATGACACTATGTGACCCAAGAGGATAAGGCAGAAACAAACCGATGTCTGTGGACTCTTCTCGGTTGATTAAATTGTTCATTGACTGGAATCTGTCTAAGGGAAGATAAGCTTTTGCCCTGACAGAGTCCAGAGTTGCTCCGATGAATTCTATAGTTTGTGTTGCAGACAAGATAGACTTTTCTAAATTCATACAGTTCCCCAGTGATGCCAGAAGACTCAGCAGAGATTAAGTTGATGTCAGAACTTTCGACCAGAACTTGCCTATCAAGGATCAATTGTCTACATAAGGAAAGACTATCGAGCTGTTGTAACGGACACATGCTGCTTCTACTGAGAATACTTTTGTAAACATTTGGGACTGCTTGTGATATTTCCACCTCAATGCTGATATATATACCCAAGAAACAGGAGGGTTGCTGTTGAGTCTTTTATGCTGTGTCTCCACTACTAGCTACAGGTTTCAGGTTCAGGCAAGTACATAGTCAACTAAGCCATGTCTCCGCTACCCATGCTACCATCCCCACACCACTCGTGCTAGTTCGATGTCAGGCACATGGAATGCATGCGTAAGACACATAAGGACCAGCATTAGAAGAACCTTCTGATCCCACTGTTAAAGTAATATCACCAAAACATTCACAGGAGAGAGCAAAGCAATATTTTTCCCACATGACAATAGCAGCACTTTCTCTTGCTCTCACAGTTCCTGACACAATCACAGGAATGCACACAGGAGGGCATTTTACCTCTCATACCACAATTACCTTGAAAATATCAGTGGCTGGCTGCAGGACTAGCCAACTGCTGCAAATTGGATTCTTGACTCTGGTGGTAACACTCAGCCCACACAGGGTGAAGAGGCAGTAAGAAGGAGCTACTGTTCCTCCAAATAACAGCCAACCCCAAGGTAAAATCTTGGATTAGAGCAAGTAACTGAGTTTTACATACTTATGTTCCCTTTTTTCATTTAATGTAACCTGCAATCTATACACGTAGCCAGTCTATGCAAACATGCGTATCCTTTTACTCTTGTCTTCTCCCCACAACACACTCCATTTTATTTGCAACACCCTCATGCATATTTATTTCTCAGAAAGGTACACCTGTTGTTGAAAATGAAGAACTTGTAAGCTGTAAATAAAAAACACAAGAATGCAAAGCCAAGCTCCCACATATTAACTACATAGGTTTTTGAATCTGCCCTTAAATACTGACACGTTTTTACTAATTTACTTACTTTTTAAGCACTTGATTTATTAAAACTTTTTGACTGACTCAGTGTGAATGTGCTAAAGCTTGGTTGAAGCTGAATTGTGCAGATCTTCTAAAAATTTACAGTATTCTGAGTTCAGCTGTCCTGAGTTCAGTGATTTTTTTTTTTAATCTCAGTTTTCCACCAGTTTTGATGCCACACACTGTGATATGACCTCCTCATAAACAGATTTGGAGTCAAAATCTGGATTTTAAATACTAGAAGAGAAGGAAGGAACTCAGGATTATAAAGCTCTGGGCTTACCTTTGAATTTTAGATCAGTCATTTTGGCTAAGTAATGGAAAGTTTCCAAAGCTTCTCTGCATTGTTTTTCAATGTTGTCCTTATGTTGTTCCAGATTTTTGTTAATTAGATCAAGCCAGATTTCCACTCAAACTACAACAGTATAATCATGAGTAAATAATCTGTCAAATCCCTCTGAAACCTCCTTCAATTGTTTTTTTTTAAACATAATGCCTTTCTGTAGAGTCCTTTATTGTGTAAAGTATGTGCTGTGTTATGACTAAAGGCCGCCTTGTGTACAGTGCAAATTTCATCATACTTGGGACAGCTGAACATAAATTGAAGACACAGTCCTCCTGAGAGTTCTCTTGAGTGTTATTGGGAAACTGAAGCATCAAGCTCAGTGCTCTTCTCAAGGCTTATCTGTTTGGGCCGTCCCTAAGAGAAGTAGGTTGAGAGACTTGGGGCTGGTCCACACTAACCCCCCACTTCGAACTAAGATACGCAACTTCAGCTACGTTATTCACGTAGCTGAAGTCGAACTATCTTAGTTCGAACTTACCGCGGGTCCACACACAGCAGACAGGCTCCCCCGTCGAATCCGCGTACTCCACTCGCCGAGCAGGAGTACCGGCGTCGACAGCGAGCACTTCCGGGATCGATTTATCGTGTCTAGACAAGACGCAATAAATTGATCCCAGAAGATCGATTGCTTATCACCGGACCCGGAGGTAAGTATAAACGTACCCTTGGAGTGATTGTTACAGGGGATTATTTATGGTGGGATTTTAATGAATTGTTATAGTGGCTTACTGTGTGATTACATAGGCTAAAGTATTTTGTGTCTAGGATATGTGTCCTCTTGTGCTTTCAGAATTGTTACAGGTATTTAGAGTTGTGGTAGATGCCTTAATATATTTAAAGAAATTCCCATGAACAAGACTGTGAGATTTTCAGAAGTGCTTAGCGCTGGCCTAACTCTGCCTTAAAGTATGGAAAGTCTGACTTAAAGTATGGAAAGTTAATTTGCAATGGTGTGCACTTTGAATTAAGTTTTATAAAGGCCTAATTCCTACTGAAATTTAACTTCAAAGGGAGCCGAGTTGGGCCAACGGTAATAACTTTTGAAAATCCCTCCTAAACAAATAAATAGAAAAGCAGGACATTTTAAAGTAAGGTTGCACTTCCAAAGTAAACCACAATCATTCTCAGATAACTACAATCTTAAGTCTGCACCACAGAGACAACTAAAATCAGTCATGCTCAAAACTTACAGAAATAGCATTCCATTACATTGAACAGCCACCAGTAAGTGCAAGTAAAGTGGTCATAATGTTGCATTATGAGTTGGGCCCTACTAAACTTACTTCAAAGTGCACTCCATTGCAGATTCATTTTCCATACACATCCAAAATTCTAGGTGCATACATTCTGTTGCTATGCACGTAGGGAAAACTACTTTCAAACTCAAAGCACTGTGCATTCGTAATTAAGAAGTTACATAATTTATTTTCTTAAGGTATCTTAGCATTAAAGTTATTTGGAAAATACAAGGCTGCATACCATTACAGCAGTCCCATTACTGTAGTGTCTACACTGGAGACACTTTCTAGGAAGGTTGGTAAATAAACAGTATATCAGAAAATAACCTTGAAGATCTCACAGGGTGGTGTTTTTCTATTGGAAAGGAAAACATACTGGGAATTACTGATGTTTCCTTGTTTTCAAAAACAGCATTATGGAAAGACAACACAATTGTAGTCTATAATGTTTTTGTCATAGTTGTCTATCAAGCAACAGAAAGCATGCAGAAAATGAGAGGAGCTTGAATGAAGTGTTAAGCATTGATGTCAAAGATTTCTTTTGTATTACAAAAACAATCACTACTAAAATAACTTCCTCAGATGTGTATTTCTTAGACATTTGCCTTTTCAATATCCCTATTCTCTTAATTGTTGAGGACCAGAGTTGTTGAAAATGCCTGGTGGGACATTTACATTTCAAACAGACGATTGGCACCTTGCCAAATGTTACAGCATATTTCACACTGGAATATTGTAGAAATTTTATTTCTATGCATCTGTATCTTGTGTTAATATCACAGCAGTGAGTACTGACTTCGCATGTTTTGTTTTTTACTGTGTTTTAAAATTGATTTTTAGGTGATTTGAGCACACATACATTGGGGCTGTTGAAAATTACAGGCCACTCACAGTGACCCAGAATTATTTAGAGCTGCTCAAATGCTTTGACTCAACCAAGTATAAACTGATTATCTAATTTTGTAACTTGCTACTTTAAACTTTTTTATTTAAAGCCTTTTTGTGGTATCTATGTATCTAGATTTTTAGGATCCAGAGCCCATTGAGGTCAGTGAACCCTGCATCAGACCCTTAATCTATGTCTGTTGCCCAGCTATACATGGAGATAACACTTACCTACCTTACACTGGTGTTGTGAAGCTAAACCCATAAATATTTGTGAGGCATTCCGATACTATGGTAATGAGGCCCATAAGGAGCAGATAGAAAGACTTCCTAAGTATTACCATTCCTTTTTATTGTTTTTACTCTGCTAAACAATGCAGACAAAAATGTTTTAGTAAAAAATAAATGGAGATGACAAAACATTGTCTCTCTCACCAACAGAAGTTGGTCGAATAAAAGCTATTACCTTACCTCTCTTATCTCTTTATTATCCTGGTACCTACAGCTACAACACCACAGCATAAAACACTCAAATAACATTTTGAACAAAAACAATCCATTTCCTACTGTGACCGGAGTCCCAGGGGAGCCAACTGAGGTCAGTTAGGGTGAACTGCAAAGAATGGGGCAGACAATCCCCAAAGCTGGTGGATATTCCAATACTTAGATTTACCAAGCCAGCACAAAAACGCTTCTATTATACCTCACTGGTTACCCAGAAGCCAACAACACAGTTCCCTTAAAGTAACCCAGCCTTAGACCTCCACCCAAATCAAATATTATGAGGATTACTGAAAACCTTATTCATCATATAAGAAAGTTCTACCAATCTCAAAGGATTGGACACATTACCTCCGAGGTTAATGAATATTCCAGATCTTACCCAAGTACATGCTTATGCCAATTCTTATTAATTAAACTAAATTTATTAAAAAAAAAGAAGAGAGAGAGAGAGTATTGGTTAAAAGATCAGTAAACATACAGACATAAGTACAGTTCTTGAGATTAGATTCATAGTAGAGACGCTGCACTTTGTAGTTGCAAAGAGTTCTTTTAGAAATAGTCCATAGGTTATAGTCCAAAGTTCATATTCAGGGAGATCCAGTCAAGACTGGAGATCTCAGCCTTATAGCTTAAGCTTCCCGTGCATGAAGCATCAAGGAGATCTGAGATAAAAAGGATCAGGACCCAAGGGTCTTTTATACAGCTCCAGGCCTTCTTTGACAGGTCAGAGTCCTTAGGCGAACAATAGGCAATTATGGGGGTTTTGAAGTAGATGTATTTCCTAAGCATCACCAGTAATTAGCTACACAAATTAACATAAGGCAGTTTATCCATTAGGTAGTCTATCACAAACTTTAAAGAGACATATAGACAATGACATTATTTCACCTAAGATTCATCTAAATGTTAATATTCCCTTTTGATCTTTGAATCAATAGCTATAGTGACAGACAGGAACTGTCTGTTTACATGGCGAACATTTAACAAGATATGAGTACACACATACAATTAGTATCACCTTTAATTTCTAACAACATAGGTTTGCATTTAAAAGTTCTAGCCTATGTACCATGGAATGGCCCTAATTACCATTCGCATTCTTTTCTAACATGTCTCTAAAGATTGAATCTGGATCATTTATCCTGCAGAATACTTAACCCTTTCAAGGCACGTCTCACATTTGTATACGTTTTGTTGCAATTATATAACGGTAGCTAAAATGATTTGCCTGGTCATATTTTAATTAGATAATGTCACACCTACTGTGTTTACATTACAATAAAGCCATCACAATTGGCACTAAAGTCTACTTTTCTGGTAGTTAAAGCAAAGAGAATAAGGACAAAGTAATGGAGCTTGAACTACACTATCACCCTGCCGGTGGTGCCTTCAGAACAGAACTGAGGCTCATTGGTGGGACAATGTGGGAAAGCCTACACTGTTATTTATTTAGTTAAAAAAGTACAGAAAAGATAAGCTCATACCTTTCATGAGCATTCAACTAACTCAAAACAATTAAAAAATTAATGCAAGAAAAAAATTAGAAAGCACCTCAGATAAGAACAAATTTAAATACTACTACTGCTCAGCACTTGTACAGTATTTTGCAACTTCAGAGTACTGTACAAACACGTAGTCTTACAACACAGCTGTGATGTAGGTAAACAGGAATTATGCCTATTTTGTATATGGAGAAATAGAGATAGAAAGGAGAAGTAACCCAAGGCTGTGCAATAAGAGAGTCAGGATTAGAACTCATGTTCTATAGACCATATTGCCACTTTAAAAAAACAAAAAATATAGCTATTTACCTACTGGTATGAAATATGGGACTTTGTTTTACACACTAACAAGTGGTTTGAGCATTGGCCTCCTAAACCCAGGGTTGTGAGTTCAGTGCTTGAGGGGGCCATTTAGGGATCTCGGGCAAAAATCTGTCTGGGGTTTGGGCCTGCTTTGAGCAGGGGGTTGGACTAGATGACCTCCTGAGGTCCCTTCCAACCCTGATATTCTATGAAGTATGGAGTTTATTAAAAAATAATCAGTAAGAAAATCAACTCTGAGAAATATTACAAAGTTCGATTAAAATATTCTTACCTCAAAAAGCAAACTAGAAAAGTACATGAGACTTTTTTCTAAGCAGTAGAGAAAACTGAATGATTAAATCAAAAGTAAAGAAATTTCAGTATAACATCATTGTTGCTTTTGCAATTCTTTTTTATAGAAATAATTGTAATTAATGTTATCTGGAAGTGTCTTCTGCATGTCACACAAAGCGTGACTATAAATAGGAGTGCTCTCCAGTAATATTACTGACCCTCTTTTTTTACTCGTTGACCGATCACATTCTTTTTTTAGTTACTGATCCATAGCGAGATCCAGACCAGGAGACAGGTGAACACCACAACTGTTCCAACTGACCTCACTTTCCTAAATGTATTGTTCCTGAATGTGAATGTCATTAAAGTAGCTGGCATAGGCCAGTCAAATTTTTCAATTAGAGCCTGATCATGTAAAATGTTATTCATGTGAGTAGTTTTTAGTGAGTAGTCCTGACTACTAGTGAGTAGTTTCACTGACTTCAATGACACTACTCATGTGAGTAACAGTTTACAAGAGTGGGCTCTTAGGCCTGATCCAAA